CCCCCGCTGAGCCGGACCGGGCGATGCTCTTGCAAACGCATAAGTACTCACAATAATTCCCTGCCACCATGCTTGCAAAGACCTTTAAAATGAGCACAATTTTGTTTATGGAATGTTTCATGTTAAGAAGTTATTATCAAGTACTGAGGTACAGAGACAGGAGGTACCTACACTCTAAATGCCAAGTAATAATTGTTCAGTTCCTACAGAAAGATGGTTTGCAAAGTCATGCAGAAGGGACTGAAAGTCTGAAATCTTTCTGGAGTCTGGAGGAAGGAGTCTGGTCTCAACTCTCAATTTCTCTAACACTAACAGCAAATACAGCATTACAGCATAAGAATAATAAAGCATTGAAGCCATTGATTAAATGATAAACTAATCATCCTTTTGCCATAGAACACTATCAACAAAATTTTAAATTCATAACAATGTTTATGGATAAAAAGTGCAAGATAATGAAGATTATAATTGAAATAACGATTTCTGTAATCGGTAATGCTTTGCCGCTTGCCTTAGAAGAATAGGTAGGTAGATTCTAACAGATGTGATTAATGATCATGTGGATTGTTGGCAATGGCAAGTTGGCAACAGTGGCTGAGTGAGTGGCATATTTTAGCAGTAGCAAATTTTATGTATATATTACTTATCTGAATACTCACATTAGCTAGATAAGACAGTAGCTATATATAAATTATAATAACAAGCTTGCAAAATCTGAACGAATGAGGACTGTTACACGTTGAACACCCAATATACGATTCTCGTAAGCGCCGAACAGCAACTAGGTAGGTCTACTTTTTTAGCAAAACTAAATTGTAAGGTGCGTTCCGGTCGTACGGCAACTTACGCTAGATTGGAATTTAACCTAAACTTAGGGTTCCGGCCCTGCTTTGAATATTTAGAAAACTACTGTGAAGCCATGTATTTCTAAATAAAACAAAGTTTGCTAGAGCATGTTGAATTTATTAATCGTGTTCATTTCAAATTATGCATCTGTCGTCCTAGGTACCAATTCAGATAATGCGATATCATTGTAGGTGAAACCAATATATTTTTGTATATAATTTCTTAGATTTTCTATGATAGATTCATGAATATATTTTCACAATAAGTAAATTTGAACGTTATTGCGCTGATATCCGTACACTGCACTCATTTGCCGATTTTTATCTCGTATATGTTACTATATAGTATATAATTTATACACGCGCTTTCAAATTCCCTAAGAAATATAAAAATCTCTGCTGAGCTGAGATCATGAAAAGTCAACTAATTTAGCTAGCAATTCTAACGTATTTATAATTTAGTGTTACATTGTAGTATTCTAACTTCAACTTTAAATTGTAGGAGTTATGAGTCCGTCGGTTGATCGTGTAGTTAGGTTTTGCGTTTGAGTTCGCAGGCGGGTCCGGAGAAGTGTCGATTCAGTAACTTTAACTACCTTCAAGCCTTATTTTGGTTTCCGGCATAGAGTCGTTTATCTTCGTCGGGCAAGGAGAACCAATGAGAAAATTCTGAAGCCTCCATACGTCCAAAATAAATAATTTTATATTCAGCAACACTCAGCAGAGGATTTGTCGACGACCATCTATTGTTTCGAGTCAGTGTCATTCGGGGCGAGATTTGTTATTGAATGTCCTTAGATTTTTGGAGTTGCATTGAGATTAATTTCTAGTGAACCACAATTCAGACATCCGTGATCAGTAATTTTGTAAAATAGACGCCATAAATATGAGCAGCAAACATATATTTAGTTTGCCCCTATTGCCTCATAGCGCGCCGGTTTAAGAAGATCTCCCCCACGAGGCTCAGGAACCCCACGCCACACCCGCCCAGCAGGACGAAGAAAGCTCCCTGAAAGAAGAAAATTTTCATTTAAACTCCCTCTATTTGAACATTTTTGCAAACTACACAACTTGAATTAGGCGTATGAATTTCTTAATCCTATGTAAATTATTCTATGTCATACAAGTCAAGAAACAATATTATTTGAAAATCGTGTTGAAAATTCACTGAGAACCATCAGCCACGCTCGTATAGGCTACAAAGACCTAAGTGTAAGTCTGTCAGCCCTATAACGTCTGATTCTATCTCGGTCTAGCTCTATTCCTCACATGTTGCAAACCACTCATTAGTCTGGCAGGAACACATGTTGCGGACCACTCATTAGTCTGTCAGGAACACATTTCTTCTCTGCAAAGTTCCCTCAACATACAATTTCCCAACATATTTTCCAAGTGCCGTTTGTTCTAGCCAGCATGCAACACGCTCCGCGCGTCCTAGCATGTCCATAGCATGCAACATTCGCGTGTTCTAGCATGTCCTTAGCATGCCAGACCTGCGTGTCTGCGTGTCAGCATGCATGTGAATAGCATGCCAGACCTGCGTGACCTAGCATGTCCTTAGCATGTCACACCTGCGTGTGCCTGAGGGAGATGCTGGACGTCTCAAGACCTCCTCCTCCAGCAGCGGCGGACCTCTCCTGCAGGTAGAGCTTCACCCCCAGGATCTGCTGCAGCCTCTCCTCCAGGAACCTATTGGGCAGCCCTGCCTCTACGATGCGCAGCAGCCTGCGCACAGTGTAACCTGTTACCAGAGGTGGGCAGTAGCGCGCTACATGTAGCGGTAGTGGTAGCGGCCGCTACATTTCAAAGTAGCGCTGCCCAGCTCTCCCTGTTACAGCAGCCTACACACAATGTAACTTGTTACAGGAGTCTTACATATACAATTAAAAAGCCCAATTAGAAGTAAAGTCGCCCACTCACGCCCCTGTAAAGGGCGCTCGCCACTCACGCTCTATCAGAGACGCCCTTGTAGGGGCGCTTAAGACTCACGCGTCATCGAAGACGCCCTTGTAAGGGGCGCCGGAGGGCAGCACGGTGCCGTAGCTCTGAAAGTAGAACAGCTCCCGCCCGATGTGGAAGTAGCGGCGTCCAGCCTGCAGCGTCAGCGCACGGGCGTCACCGTAGCTGTTGAAGCTCGTGTAGCCCCCACGCTTCAACTGCGGGGGAAGTCGGGGTAGTGGTGGGAAAGAAAGTGATGTGCTGCCACATGTGCAGGACATGATACACTGTACACTGCACAGACCTTATGATGAGTTCGGGACTTCCTAGTCCCCGGTCACGCTGATGCGCCGCCTTCGTCGTCCTCCGTCTCCGAGTCGTCGCTAGGCAGGTCACCCCGCCCTCAGGTCCCGGATGTAACGTTGGACGTGTTCCGTATATTTGCCCTCCGTATAATTGCCTTATTTGGAGCAGGGGGTAGTGGTGGGGGAAGGGAGTGGGGTGCTGACACATATATAAGTATAAGACATGGTGAAGTGTACAGTGCACATCACACGTCTCCCATAACACACATCCTCCACCGCACGACACCCAAACAACACAACACCCACCGCCTCATATCGCGCTCCGGTCTCCACAGGGAAGGCGTAGGTCACCCCCGGCACGTACAGGTCGGCGATGGCGCGGTACAGGCTGCCGGGGGGCGAGCTCTGGGGGGAAGATGGGGGTTATATAGGCATGGAGCAAGGGTAGTGGCATGAAGCGAGGGTATATAGTGGCATGGAGCGAGGGTATATAGTGGCATGGAGCGAGGGTAGTGGCATGGAGTAATGGTAGTGGCATGGAGCGAGGGTAGTGGCATGGAGCGAGGTTAGAAGCATGGAGCGAGGGTAGTGGCATGGAGCGATGGTCGCTCCATGCCACTACCATGGCTCGAGATCTCGGAGTGTTGATGAGTTCTGAATCCACGTTCGATACCCATATCGAGGAAATAGTTGCGCGCAGCCGGCAACGGATGGGGTGGATATGGCGGACATTTCGAACGAGAGAAGCAGCACTAATGATTACACTCTTGAGAGCCCTCGTGCTCCCCAATCTCGAGTATTGCTGCCAGCTTTGGTCGCCGATCAAGGCGGGTGCGGTGCAGAAATTAGAGGCAGTGCAGCGTACCTTCACGTACAGGATCAGCGGCATGAGGGAGCTGAACTGCTGGGGAATAACCGAGCCGCGGCCAGAGTACAGACTCTCCGTGAGGGATCACTATCCGTTGTAGGACCGAGGCTCTTTAATGCCTTGCCAAAAGCGCTGAGAGGAGGGGAGTTCACCCATGCAACATTCAAGAGACGATTGGACAATTGATTGAGAAAGATCCCGGATTGTCCAGTAATGGGAAACTACCCTCAGCAAGTGACAAGCAACAGCATCTTGCATCAGCTGGCCCAAAGGAGGGCAAATAGACGGAACACGTCCAACGTCACATCCGGGACCCGAGGGCGGGGTGACCTGCCTAGCGACGACTCGGAGACGGAGGACGACGAAGGCGGCGCATCAGCGTGACCGGGGAATAGGAAGTCCTGAACTCATCATAAGGTCACAAGGAGGGTAGTGGCATGGAGCGAGGGTAGTGGCAGGAGTAGAGTACTGGAGGAGAGGGAGTGTAGTCATTGTAATGGTATAACTGGAGAGCAGAAATCTGAGTGGACCAAATGTTTGTCTATTGTAGTGGCATGCGTGAATAATTTCCTATCGCAATGTGTTCTGGAAGGGGATGACACTCCTTGAACAAGGTGTCAAGGCGCCCACCTTAAACAAGGTGTCAAGGCGCCCACCTTAAACAAGGTGTCAAGGCACCCACCTTAAACAAGGTGTCAAGGCGCCCACCTTAAACAAGGCGTCAACGCTCCCACCTTAAACAAGGCGTCAAGGCACCCACCTTGAACAAGGCGTCAACGCTCCCACCTTAAACAAGGTGTCAAGGCGCCCACCTTAAACAAGGTGTCAAGGCTGTTCTGGAAGTTCATCAGGGGCACCATCTGCCCCCGCCTGCCCGCTGCCACCACCTGCTCCAGGGAGTCTATCGTGGCGCTGTAGGTGGGCACCGCGTACCCCGCAGTCAGGGACCCGGAGTATAAGTCTGGCAGGGTACAGGAGAATAAGCAATAAGAATATGGCAGTTATATAATGACTGTTACATACTGTATGATATGAACACAGAACATTATAATGTATCCGAGAATAATTGACTTATAAAATGATTTTATCCATTTTTAGTGGAGTCGAACTGATGATGGCACTGGACTCCGAAACGTTTCAATATCGATATGGTGAATTTGCTTGGCGTTTTCTTTGCTTTTAAATCCCTTGTGAATTTACGATATAAGCAGACTGATAATATAAGTACTTATATACGAGGATGTGTTGTTCTACAAGACATTGTCCAATAATAAGAACTTACAAATCACGATGAGGCAGAAGATGTACCAGAAGACGAACAGGACCTTGACGCTGTCCAGGCCAACGTGTATGAGGTTGCCCTGGTTCACCACGCTCCTGAAGGCGTTGAAGCAGAACTCGGGCAGCGTTCCCAAGGGCAGCCACTCCCGGGACCTAGCGCCTCTTGTTGGGGCTTCTTCCTTCCTCAATCCTAGGGGCTTCACTGGAGATTTGAAGCCCTGTTTCTTTGCCCCGTTCGAGGGACTTGGTGAGGAGGCCACCCCCAGTTTGGCAGGGCGGCCGTAGTGCGGCGGGTTGTCAGTGGTATTTTTCGAGGCCGGTGACGCGGAGTGGGTGGATTGACCCACATTGGTAATGATGGAGTGACCCACCTTGGTGATGGTGAACGTGATGGGACCCATCATGCCTACGGCAGCGATCAGCAGTCCCCACACCTGCAAGAGGCATGGCATCGGTTGCTTCTCAATTGCGAAGAAAAACCTTCTCCTCTTTTTATCTATACCCATGAACCGTATTACCGATTTTATGGACATACTCAGCCACTCACGGGGTACGTGAAGGGCCGCAGGATGGACATACTCTGTCCCACGATGGTGGGGGCGGCGGTCACGATGGCGTATCCCTCGGTGAAGTAAGCCGTCGTGAAGTCCACGACCGCCGCCCGCTCGGCTGGGAGGGGGTGGAGGAAAGAGGGTATATTGTGGACTATATTATTGATTGACAAAAATTTATTGAAACTAAAGCCTAGTAACATAAAACATTTCCATTTTTTCTTTTAATGAAGAAAATAACGGAACCGAAAACCAAAATTTCGGATATTCCAGACCAAAAAATATGGCAGGCCTTCTACTGACACCCGTTGGCCCCACAAGTGAAGGTGATGGGCCAGTGGCTGGCTACGCTATATCGCTGGCCGGACAGTGAGGCCTCACCAGTGATGGTGATCTTGCACATGGAGAAGTGGGCCTTGCGCTTGGCCACGTGCCCCACAAGGCCCGTGATGTTGCCGTCCTTTTGAGGCCCTCCCCAGACGCGCTCCGTCGGCTCCGAGATAACGTACCTGCCAAGGAATTAGTACGTGGTAACCCACAGACAGGTGATGATAATTGGTACGTGGCAACCCACGGACAGGTGATGATAATCGGTACGTGGCAACTCACTTTCAGGTAATGATAATCGGTACGTGGCAACCCACGGACAGGTGATGATAATCGGTACGAGGCACCTCACGGTCAGGTGATGATAATTGGTACGCGGCAACCCACGGGCAGGCAATGGTAATCACGTCTTGGCAACTTTAGCCTGGATTAACTTTTAATATGGACTGTGCCAAGTAGAACTTCGGAAAAAAATTACGATTTAGCAGCGCCAGTATGAATCATTTAATTTGAGGAAAATATTTATTTGGTGTCCATTCAAAGATCATACAGGGCAGTATTAGAACCAGTAAGAGGTCCATAAAAAAATTTATCGAATGTTGCCGTATAAATCAAGTCAAGTTAATAAAGCCAATAGTCAAGTTAATAAAGCCAATCAACGACTTGGACTGATCAGACGCTCTTTCGAGTTCCTAGATTTAGAAACGATGAAGCAGTTGTTTGTTGCTGTCGTGCGCCCGAACCTGGAGTTTGGAAACGTCGTGTGGTCACCGAAATTTGAAAAGGAGAAAAATTTAGTAGAGAGTGTTCAAAGACGCGCAGTTATGGAAAGATCGGGTTCCAAAGGCCGGATCCCTTGTGAATCAAGTCACGAAAAGTTCAAGAATCGGCAACAGGCCATGGGCCTATTTCTTCAGTGCCGACACTTCTATTCTATTCTATTCTATTCTAAATCTCCATAAATCGCACATCTTCCCGAACGTTGCCATATTCTGCGCATGAAATTGAGCATCTTTGCAGGTGCTGTCAAATAACTTACCTGAAAATGAGCATCTCGGCAAGTGTTGCCATATAATTTACCTGAAATTGAGCATCTTGGCGAGTGTTGCCACTATCTGCACGTCAACTCCGCCCTCAGGAACAAGCTTGCCGTCGGCATCAGCGGTGTAGTTGAAGAACGTGATGGTCGGCAGCGCTGCGATCACCAGCAGACGATTGCTGAAGTTCCGGTACACTTCGTCGGGGTTCCGGTACAGTTCATCCGGCTTCCGGTATGACAGTTCGTCTAGGTTCTGGTCCATCTGGCTGGAATTGTAGAGTGCTGGAACTGCCTTGGGGTGAGTGGTACCAACAGAGGGCGGGAGTGAGCACCCGGGGGTTGCGCAGAGAACAGGTGGGTGGTCTAGCAGCTTCATCCTGTCCAGCCAGAAGCAGGTGTACACAAGTTATTGCTTTCACTCATTAATGAAGTTTATGTTATTGCCTTCATCTTCACATATATTCGTTGTGATATGTCACTTGGCAGCCACTAACACAGGGCTATTGTTTAGTCAAATGTCATGAGACGTAAAATACAACAGACATTAATTGCAGGATACGTGAATTGTGCGAGACATAAATTTCATTAGACATTGATGGATGGACTTCAACTAACACTAAATGTAGATCACCTATATTTTAATAGACATTTATTCTAACTGACATTCGTTTTAACCGACATTTATTTTATTAGACATTTATTTTAATAGACATTTATTTCAATAGACACTTAATTCAATAGATATTTATTTCACTAGACATTTATTTCAATAGACATTAATATTAGTGGATATTTATTTTAACAGACACTTATTGTAAAAGACATTTAGGTCCAATCACAAGACAATAACTGCATACGTATATATGACAGTACACACCGCATGCCCAGCAGCGGGGACACCTCGGCCACGTAGAACTTGTAGCGCCCCGCGGCGTCCGCGACCAGCAGCGCCATCTTGCCGGTAAAATATCGATTAATAACTTTTTAATTGAGATGAGGATGATATAAACACATTAAACGTTTTATTTTGAGAACAACGTACGATAATAAACACATCATAAACTCGGGCTGGTCAAGTTGTAGCAAAATTTGCACAGATTGCCAACATTGCACCAGTGTGCAAATCCCCACTAGTTGTAAAAATTGTGTTCAAAATTGGCAAGGTGTCCAGGAGGATAAAATAAAGATAACGGGACGGAGAGGTAATGAGGTAATCAGATTAATAATATAACTGCTATAGAGATAATCTGATTAATAATGCGGCAGCACCTGAACGCCCTCCCGTATGAGGCCCTGCAGGAGCTTGGGCAGGCCAGCGTCCTCCCCCACCACCGCCCACCACACCCGCCGGTGCTCTAGGGACTCGCGGGACACCTGCGGGGTGCGGGCATGTGGGGGGGCATACGGGCATGTGGGGGGCATACAGGCATGGGGGAAGGTTATAAATTTGTCGGCGCTAACTGCGATATAAGTGTTCAGATTTAGCCATATATATCGACGTTGAGAGCTTTTTGTGACAGGCTTCTTGTGGCATGGGTAAGTGGGTTTAAAATGATGAGTTTAGACACGTCTAACCATTTAATTAAGACCAGTATCATCCAGCACGCTTGAGCTGATATACCTGCTGGAATATCCTGACGAGGTCAGAAGTGTTGCACATGACCAGGACTGTAGTGAGGGTGGTGAGGGCGGCTTGTTTGTTGACATCGCGCGCAGACAGCGCGGCGCACTGCACCCACGTCTGTGTCTGATAGGTGACTGAGGCGAGCACCCGCTCAGCGGCCAGCGCACCTGCAACATGGCGGCGATCCAGGTAAACGAGGGGAAATGTTAAAATCTTAGAGCCTTCCGCCTAAGACCTGGGACATTGGAGCCTGGGACCGCGCTATCAAAAGCTGTTATGGGTAGGCTTCTTCATCTGCTAATTACAGACAGCTTCCCAGGCGAAGAACACCAATCACAGACGAGAAATCTGCCGCTACGTTCACTTAGGCCGCGCCGTATACATAGGTCTCGAAGTGTACTATGGCCGCTACGATTACTTGAGAGAAAGTTTTGATAGTACGCTTCCTGGTCATATATATCGCTTTATTATTCAACATGACCCACTCTCAATGTCTGCTGTTGCCACGACGATGTGCTGGGCAGGCGCTGCCGACGTCAGTAGCTTCAACGCCGCTGCCGCGGTCGCCTCGCCTGCCTGACGCACGACAATTTTGCCTCGCCTGGGGTAAAAATACGTACACGTACGACAAGCTTGCCTCGTCTGGGGTAAAAATACGTACACGTTCAACAAGTTTACCTCGTCTGGGGTAAAAATACGCACACGTACGACAAGCTAGCCTCGTCTGGGGTAAAGATACGTACACGTACGACAAGCTAGCCTCGTCTGGGGTAAAGATACGTACACGTACAGGAAACGTCGTGACGTCAGCTATAGACGTCGTGACGTCAGCTATAGACGTCGTGACGTCATCTAGAGCTGTGACGGCATCAACAATAATAAGGAGCGAAATAAAAATTAATAATAAACATAAAGATTAAATGACAGTAATATATATCTGCACATGTGTTGGCTAACAATGTTTCGTTTACTCAATGAAACGTCATCGAATAATGAATGGTATTCATTTGAATTCAATTTATTAAGTTCATTGATTGCAACTTCTCTAAATGATGAATATTTTTCTTTCAAATAATACTTCTTCCGTAAATACAATATAACCTCATGAAATAATAAACATTATAACTCATATATCATTTGTATGATATATATCATGTGCACTCACCAGCCGCCAGCACCAGCTGCAGCACGAGACGCCACATGTTGCTTATTTGAACATCACAATTACCTGAAGATTGAATTATCTCTCAGTTATGAGCGTAATGATTAGCGCCCTTATATAGAATAGAATAGAATAGAATAGAAGTGTCGGCGTTGAAGAAATAGGCCCATGGCCTGTTGCCGATTCTTGAACTTTTCGTGACTTGATTCACAAGGGATCCGGCCTTTGGAACCCGATCTTTCCATAACTGACGATTGATTGAGATAGCTGCTGGACTTATTGCCTGCTCCGTAATTTGCTAGGCATTTTAAGACTGAACATATGCTCCTGCATAGCTTCGTCTAGTCTGTTTTTGTATTTTTTGTATGTATTTGTATGTATTTTTTTTTTGTATGTATTTTTGTGTAAATATACATCCATGTGTGGTGGTCTGTATAGGAATGTTAAGACATGTATGGATAAGTCGTGAAATGTGTACGATATTTGTGTGAAATCTACGTGTTCATAGGTCGCTACGTGTACTTAGGTCAATACGTGTACTTAGGTCGCTACGTGTTCTTAGGTTGCTACGTGTACTTTGGCCGCTACGCGTACTTTAGTCGCTACGTGTACTTAGGCCGCTGCGTGTACTTAGGCCGCTAGGTGTACTTAGGCTGCTACGTGAACTTAGGCCGCTACGTATACTTAGGTCGCTACATGTACTTAGGCCGCTACGTGTACCTAGGCCACAACGTAAACTATAGGCTGCTATGTATACTTAGGCCGCTACGCGTACTTAGGCCACTACGTGTATTTTGGCCACTACGGGTACTTTGGCCGCTACGTGTACTTAGGCCGCTACCTGTACTTAGGCCGTTACGCATATTTTGTCAGCTACGAGTACTTAGGCCGCTACGTGTACTTAGGCCGCTACTTGTACTTAGGCCGCTACGTGTACTTAGGCCGCTACGTGTACTTAGGCCGCTACGTGTACTGAAGCCGCTACATGTACTTAGGCCGCTACGTGTACTTAGGCCGCTACTTGTACTTAGGCCGCTACGTGTACTTAGGCCGCTACCTGTACTAAGGCCACTACGTGTACTTAGGCCGCTACGTGTACTTAGGCCGCTACATGTACTTAGGCCGCTACGTGTACCTAAGCCGCTACGTGTAGTACTTAGGCCACTACGTGTACTTAGGCCGCTATGTGTACTTAAGCCGCTACGTGTAGTACTTAGGCCGCTACGTGTACTCAGGCCGCTACGTGTACTTTGGCCGCTACGTGCACTTAGGCCACTGCGTGTACTCAGGCCGCTACGTGTATTTAGTCCACTGGGTGTACTCAGGCCGCTACGTGTACTTAGGCCGCTACGTTTATTTAGGCCGCTACCTGTACTTAGGCTGCTACCTGTACATGCGCCCATCTTTATAGCAGTGCAGAGGTCAGCAAATGTCAGCCCAGGAAGCGCTGAGGCAACACAAACTCCCACGCCATTTACGGGCACAACAAAACATATCAGGTTATTTGCATATTCGTAATCTGACGCCGGCAACTTATTCCCACGAATAATGGAGGCACGAATGAGTTTCGTGATCGAATTTCGTTTTAATCTGATAGAGAGAGAATCGAAAATTGACGCACCTATAAATGTATGGCTAATATTTTCCAAATAGTGATGAATTTTTTTACCCACAGAGAACGAGCAATGAACGAGCGTAGCACTGATACGCCCAAATTGAATCAGGGTGACCCAAACAAAGGGCAAAAGTGTATCGCTAATATAGACAAAGTCTCACACATTATTTTGAGTGCTATAATGAGTATTGCGATCAACGTTCGGTGCGTGATGACAGCGCAACAAAAATGTCGGTCGCAGGCGTCTCTTTAAATCAATTTGTTATGCAAATGGCCTGCCTTTTCCCACGGGCGTTTGTTTGAGTGGTTCTCAGCGAAATAATAACATTTTTGTCCAAGCATCCATGCTCTTTTTGCGATTGTATTTTTTGAAATTGTTTAATGTCATTTTGACCCAGTTTGGGTAGTATTGCATTCTATAATTTATGTGTTATTTAATACCTCATGTATTATTTAATACCTCATTAGTCATTACACTGCACCGCTGCAGCCCACATAAGGAACAACATTCAAGTATGTATTTATTCGTGGAAGAGCTGCTAACATTGGTAAACATAAAGTGTAAACTTGAGAAATGAGTGATGTTTATGTCAATGGTCATACACTTTTTACCCTTGTATGACTTATCCTTACCCAATTTGATTCAGCAATAAAAAAAATGCGTATCGGTGCTACGTGCAGAAGGCGTTTCTCTATTTTGACAATAACACTGTCACCGGCCAGAGCTACTACCACAAGCCAATCTAAACGTTAGGCCTGTAATTCACTATCAGGATCGAATGCTCACCGCTCATTGGCCAGGACAATATGAATAAATTTCAGGCAACTGTGCTCATTCATCTAACCTACAATGCCGTTCAACTCTCCTGGTCATCGTCAGTTAAAGCCGGTTCAAAGGCTGTGGTATATAATTACGACAAAGCATACTTAAAATAGTTTATTCAATCACTTTGTTTAAAATTAGTAAAACATGGTAAAGGGAAGCACGAATTCCGACTAAAATGACTATTCTAAGAGACGTTCAAATTGGTTCATTCATTTACTATTGCACAGCATTAATGCACGTAGTTAAGGTTACGTTACTTCACATAGGCGAACGGTAGCAGGTAAGACTAAGTTCTCACGGCACAGCCACAAGAATGCTGAGAGCTAACAGAGCGGGCTCAGGTATGAACCTCACTATAGGGCTGGCGGGACACGACTAACTAACTGACGCACAGACGCTCAGACCTGACCTGGTACTAGACAGTTCCAACTGCTATAGGTCTGACTCGCATGTCACTGGCGCGGCTTCGCCAGACGTAATAGAATAATTTCGTCACAAGAAAATGCACATTGAATAAATTAGTGAACGATGTTCCTCGTTCACATCCCCCTACACCTGATAAAACCAAATATTTAGTCGCTATTGAATCTAGCTATAATTACAGGGTACAATATACAATTGCTAACTCGCTATAAGGCTCACAATATTTAACAATCATTAACTAGGTATGCTAAAATAGAACTTTATTAAATTTGAACTTGCTAAAATCGTACTTAATTAACTACTTAAATCTAAACATAGGATTCGTTTATTATGCTTTAATCGGCTTCAATCGGAGAGTATTCCTAGGTACAAAAGTATTGCACTAGCATTGAAAAATGCAAACATAGTAATTATAAAAAATGGAATCCTACAATTCTTCGTCTTCTGTGTTCCATCGATCCGACAGAGAATTCATTTCGCGATCGAGGTGATCAGAGAGATCAGGGCCCTCCGAAACTGAGCTTCTGGCAAGGAAATGAAACTCTTCCGGTAACTCGAAGTCTTGCGCAGCTCCCGCAGGGTGCCCTCGTCTCTGCTCGAACTTGGACAAAGTTTTGGGTCCTGAGAACTCTTCTGGAAGCTCGAAGTCTTCCGACAAATAAGTCGGATGTCCTTTCTTCAGAGTGAAGCTGTAGGGAGTATCAGCGGCTCTTAAGAAGTCGCTCTCTCGTCCAGCATTCAAGGTCAGCGCCTTGACTAAGTCTTCCACGACTCTTCTAGTCTGAGAACGCGTCGTGGCTCTGGGTTGAGTCGTCGGCACCACCGTTGACGCTCCGCTGCTCAACGCAGGCTCGGGTGACGTCCGGTTGTCGACCACTGGATCAGGCGAAGCCACATAATTCTCGAGAACTTCCTCGAGCCCGTCGCTCAGATGTTCCCATTCAAGGCTGACTTGTTCGTCTTCTTCCAACTCTGAAAGTGGCTCTTCTCGCTGCTCCTCTGTCTCATCGTTTGCAGCTACGTTACTCGGCTGGTAGTCTGCCCGTTGTCGTATTGCCGCTGCTATCTTATCAGCCAACCCAGAGAGATTAATTTTAAATTCGCCGAAGTTGTGCCCCTCACTCGTCGCTATCGGCGGAACCGAAAACGCGCCCAAGGCGCTGTTCTGCGATGCTACTTCGGGCCTCTCTAGTTGGCGACGGCTGCTCGTGGCTGGTCTGTGCTGACGTGCCGCTCCATGTCTCTGCTGTATCGCCTCATCTTCTCCGTGCCAAGGTTTTAGTTGATTAAAATGAACCGTCTTCCTATGTTTTCCGTCCGTGGTCGCTATTCGATACGTAATGAGGTTGGGATCGACTTCTGTGACAACGAAAGGACCGGAAAACCTGGGTGAAAGCTTGTTCTGAGAAGGCAACGGAGGAAGTTTCCTCGCTACTCTTTGACCCACACTTTACGAGCTTTACCAATACCATACTTAATCGGATTTTTCAAAACACATGCTACAGTGGCTTCACGAATAACCGGATGTTCATCCATGCTGCCAGAAATTCCAAGAGCGAGTGCATAGAATAACGAGTCAGGACCACCAGGGACGACGTTAAGCTTATAACCCTGCAAGGAAACAGCGTAGTTTGACGGAACTTGGTCACTTCGCACGGGCAAGTCAACCATCCTGCTGAGAGCATCCGCCACCACATTCTCCTTACCGGGAACGAACTGGATCTCGTACTGACCGCAGTGCAGCTCCTCGTACGTCCTCATCAACCTGGCGTCCACGCTTTTCATGTTGTTCAAATAAATCAAAGCCCTATGATCGGTACGTATTACATACTTTCGACCGTAGATAAATGGGCGGAAGGTCTTCACAGCCCAACGTAGACCAGCTAATTCCCTCTCGGTCGCACTGTAATTAACTTCTACCTGATTAAAGGTGGTGCTGGCATACGCCAATGGTCGCTCCACTCCGTCCTGCTGCTGAGTCAAGACAGCGCCTGCTCCCACGCCACTAGCGTCCACAGTAATTATCAGCGGCGCTGCTTCACGGGAAAAATCAGGAAAACTGAGCACAGGAGGATTAGTTAATATTTGTTTCAATCCTAGGAAGGCAGCATTGCATTCTTCTGTCCAAGAAAGTTTCTTCTGATTAATGAGTTCATCAAGTGGCTTAATGATCGTGCTAGCGTTGGGGATATGGCGCCTGAAGAAGTTAACCATACCTAGATATCTTCTAACTTGGCGTTGTGTCTTCGGCTGTGGAAAGTCAAGGATCGCTTGCACATTCCTGCGGTCTGGTCTGACACCATCCCGACCGACAGTATGGCCCAAGTACGTCACTTCACTCCGAAATAATGAACACTTATCCGGCCTCACCTTCAGACCATGCTCCTCAAATCTCGAAAGCACCAAGTCGCAATTAGCGAGATGATCTTCAAAAGTAGAGCCTGTAATAATCACGTCATCAATGTAACTGATTGCTATGCTCCAAGGGATACCAGCGAGCACCAACGCCATCAACTGCATAAAGGAACTGGGGCTGTTAGTCAAACCAAATGGCATCCGTTTCCACTGCCAATGGGAATCGCCCGTTGAAAACGCAGTGAATTCTTTGCTGGCCTCGTCCATCTCCATCTGGTAAAATCCCTGCATCAGATCAAAGGTTGAAAAGTAATGCGTGTTATTAAGGTTAGAGAGACCATCAATCATGTTGGGTAAAGGAAATGAATCACGTTTTGTCACAGAGTTAAGAGCACGGTAGTCCACACACAGACGCAGATTACCGTCTTTCTTGCGAATAGGGACCAGAGGCGATGACCACGGAGAGTTAGACCGTTCAATGATGTCTCTATCTTGTAACTTCCGTAGTTCTTCCTCAATTTCATGTCGCAATGGTCCTTGAAATCTTCGGTAACGCTGTTTGCAAGGTGGGTTGCCCTGAACATCAATAACGTGTCTGGCCGTTGCAGTTCTACCTAAATCATGCTTGTGAAGTGAAATGGCCGCTCTGCGTTTCTCGAGCATACACTTGACTGTGGCAATCTGCACATTACTTAAGTCACTCTTCGAGAAATCGAACAAATCACCGGCACATATATCACTAGTTCCAACACGAATAGAATTTTCCACACTAACACCACTTTCACCAGCACTAGTAATAACACTTTCACCAACACCATCACTGCCTAACACTGACACTAAATTCGAGGACACACAGAAAATACCGATCTTAGTTTTTCGTCTCAATTGCACTTCAGAAGGATTAACATTTAATAGTTCGACCATGATATGACCATTCTTTACAGCATTCAAAGAATATGCAACTTTAATTTCCTCACCACAGGTAGAATGAACACTGAATGGTTCTAAATAACCTTCACTACCATCAGGGATACACATATCAGACAATCTAACTTTAATCAATTTCAGCTCGTGAGGCAAAATCGTCACATTGTCGACAGTTCTCACCGTGGTTTGGACGTCCAGTCCACACGAAGTCTTCAGATGCACCGAATGAGGAGATTCATCTGGCGGTGAATAAAGTAGCAAACGGTTCACAGTATCAATAACCATGAAATGCTTCTCCAGGAAATCGAGTCCTAACACCAAGGGTCTGCTCGTAACTCCTCTTGGGACAACCACAATACGACACGATGAAGCTTGCAAATCTTCGATCTCTATGTTGACCGTAGTATCGCCCAATACAGGGATAACCGTATTACCAAAACCACGAAGTTCTGTGCGGCTATCTGGCCTTACTACAGCTGCAGGGCTCATTCGCGTTAGCAGTTCCTCAGAAATGACTGAAACTGCAGCGCCGTTGTCAACCAACGCGTCAAAGTATTGGCCATTAATCTTGGCAGTCACAAAATACGATGAAGCATTACTATCTTTCGTCTTCATAATTAAATCAATATTTGCCGCACCTTTAGTTCTGTCTTGCAAACTAGAGCTCGTCGGGGATTCTACTCCTGCTGTCGGTTCCCGACTTTCCGCAGCAGTCTTTAGTTTCCCTTCGGCTTACTCGAACACTTGAATGACTTATGATCTTCACCACCGCACCAAATACACGCTCCGAATTCTCTTTTAAAATCACGACACTGTGCTAACACATGTCCAGGCTTGCTACAATACTGGCAAGTCACACTGGTGGAACTAGGCGAAGTACGATATGGCTGACGTGATTCGTTACGGCTAGGGCAGTTACGTATAAAGTGTCCCGTCTGGTTACACTTAAAGCATCTCTTAGCTCGAACACTGGCATTTGCATCACTGTCACTAAGATTAGGCGACTTACGAACATTTACTTCCGGATTAGTAGCGAGGGGACGAACAACACTAGCTTGAAATGCATTCACTGGCACAGCAACAGAAGAGCGCGGGATAAAAGGTTCTAATGCTGTAACTAACTGTACAACAGTTTCTAGTGAAGGTTCCCGCATGCTTGCCAACTGCACTGAAACTTGCACTTTCAGCTCTGGAGGTAAACTATCCATAAGTTTGCTCATTATCATTTGATCTCTCCCTGCTACATCACCAAATGCTGCTGCCGCCAACCCTGCTAGACGCAATGAAAACACAGGAAATGATTCGCCAGGGTGTCTCTGGGCAAGTAAAAATGCCGAAGTCTTGTTCGTACGAAGAAAATCATTTGGCGTAAATAAAGATACTAAATTAGCCTTGACAGCATCGTAATCCAACTGATGCGCGCCCATAGCACTCAAGGATTGTTGCGCATCTCCTAACAGAAATGAGCGCAACGCCACCAACCACGAGTCACTATTACCTTGCTTCGGGCCGTAGGTATGAGATGCGTACGCTTCGTAAGTACGGAAGAAGTCGTCGATCGTCGTAGTCTTCACTGCTGGGTCGAAGGGCTGAGGTGGAGGTCTGACGTGGCGATTCAAGTTCCCGAGCGCAACAGTTAGTTCTTCAATTACACGTTGCATATCTCTAGCATGAACACCACTAGAAGTACTACTGACACTTTCACGACTAGGAGTATTAGGCATGTTCAAGGTTCACAAAATAGTCCAACAAAAAGCACAGTTCACACGGATAAGAAATCCCACTTCTGACACCAGAAAAGATGTCACCGGACGTGTGCCGCTACCTTTAATTTTGTCAGGATAATCGAAGCTCCACGGCCAAACGCCGGCAACTATCTTGTAAAAGTTCACTTTATAATTCCTGCTGTGTGAGTAATGCTCTGTTCAATTGCTCTCTTTACGTCATATTGTGAGATAATTTAAGAAATATTTTGGTCATCATGTCACCGGCCAGAGCTGCTACCAGCCAATCTAAACGTTAGTCTTGTAATTCACTATCAGGATCGAATGCTCACCGCTCATAGGCCAGGACAATATGAATAAATTCCAGGCTACTGTGCTCATTGATCTATCCTACAATGCCGTTCAACTCTCCTTGTCATCGTCAGCTAAGCCGGTTCAGTGGCCATGGAATAATCATGACAAAACACACTTAAAATAGTTTATTGAATCACTTGGTTTAAAATCAGTAAAATCAGGTAAAGGGAAAGCACAAATTCAGACTAAAATAACTATTAAAGAAATGTTCAAATTGGTTCAATTCCATTTACTATTGCACCGCATTAATGCACATAGTTAAGGTTACTGTAATTAGCATAGGCGAACAACAGCAGGTTAGACTAAATAGTCACGGCACAGCCACAACTCCAGCGTTAAGCAAAGAATGCTGAGAGTTAACAGAGCTGAGCGGGTTCAGGTATGAACCTCGCTGAAGGGCTGGCGGGACACGACTGACTAACTGACGCACAGACGCTCAGACCTGACCTAGTACTACACAGTTCTAACTGCTGTAGGTCTGACTCGCATGTCACTGGCGCGGCTTCGCCAGACGTTATAGAATTATTTAGTCACAAGAAAATGCACATTGAATAAATTAGTGAACGATGTTCCTCGTTCACAATCACATTCTTTGATCATTTCTTTTAAAGTAACCCTCTACCGCCTGACATGAGTAACCCGAGCAATGTTGTCAAGCGCCTACTTCCACAAAAAGGATACGTTGCTAGTGAGCGCAAAATGACTTACACTGATGGTTGCCGCCACGTACGACAACTTTAAAATGTTTTCTGTTGCGTATAAACGTCCTCAGGTTCCCACACTCGATAGCTTATGTATAATTTAATTTGAAAGTTGTGCTCCCAGAGAGTGACGACATACGGCGGTAGAGGGTTAAGATGGAAATCCTTTATATTTTCATTATCACTTTAACATTATTTTCGTACTTCTTTTCAACTTTTAGCAGGATTTTTGTATTTCCTTCAAATTTTAGATGCTGCTAATACAATTGAAATTATTTATTTTATGTTTAGAATGCGTCACATGATTCTGTATAACAACAGCTGCATGCTTCAAATGAACATTGAAGAAGGTTTTATTCTAAGAAACTGTATTCCTGCCTTTATTTATATTTGGTGCAGGAAGCGGAAAGCTGAAGACACGACCGATGCAGCGCCTGCAGCAAAGAAGATCAAGAAGGAAGATGAACTTCTCATGAAGAAGCAAAATGATGTTTTCTTCAAGTTTCGTGATTCTCTCAAGGCTTTGGAGAAGTTAGAACTCATTGAACTAATTGAACACAACATCTTCAACTTCAACTCCAGCGGCATGGGTGAAAGTGTTGTGAGAATCATTACTAATATAACCTGACATGTACCTGATTTATACCTGACATGTTCCTGCCACTTTTGTACACGTGCTGTGCGTGCACCTCACTGCACATTCACATGCAGTGTGCGCCCCATTGTTGTCATCATTATTGCCCTCAAGTAGTAGGTATATTTTAGTCTGCCCGTGAGATAACTTTCCGTTGCTGCACTGCTCCTTCTATCTTCTATTTATTACCTATGTAAGTAACTTTGGAATTGTCAAGTTTTTACTTTCTAATTCCATATTTTAACAGAACATTGAAGAATGGTTTTAATGGTAATTAGTTTTCTCATATTTCCGTTTGAAGTTCGCGTCTTCAATATAAAAACTTGTTCCTAAGAAATGCTGTCTCCACAACATTTTCAAAGCCTCTTTATTTCAGTTACTTGACCGCGCGGCCGACCTCCTCACCTTTGGGGTCCCAGCGGCTTGTGATCTTTGCAAGGAAGGCATTTTAGTTTTCAGGTAAAATGGCTGCCTGTCCATTTGAATGGAAGGAATGCTGTGGGCGTTAATCTTTATTTATTGCTAGATGGAAAGATGAAAAGCTGAAGTGCTAAATTGAGCACAGTTACGCATGTTTTAACCGTTGAAAATGGAATTTTTCTGCATTTTTTCCTGCTTTATTCAGCACACACTAGACATCATAAGGCACAGAGAAGTCAGAAAGCATAATATCTTCATCAAACTTCCCAATTGACTTTGATGCACAACTATGCTATCGTGATGAAACCGACCGTAATTAGGGTACACTAGTATATGTTTATACTGGTACTATATGATATACTATACATCAGTATATTTTATTATATGTGCACATATTGCTGGTGTTAGACAGCTTTCATGCAAGTGCTGACTGGGCAGGTCTGGCGTCGGCTACGCGTGCACGGGTCACATCTCTGACTACACGAGCTGCACCAACGTTGTCAAGGCGCCCAAGCGGAGGCGCTTTCAGGTGCCTGCTGAGCTGGCGGCCGAGTACAGCTTCCTGTTAGTCAAACTCTCAATTAAACTTGAAAATCATTGCATTGAACTTTTTGTTGCTTTGATCTTGTTCATCATGCTTTAATTGGAAAAATAGTTTTCAATTTGTTCAAAAAATTTCACAACCAAGTCTAAGTGAAAAGTATTAGCCATAATTTTGTTTTGCTTGGAATTCTTGCTTCGGTTTGCTGTATTTTCATAATTTCATTAGTGTACTCTAGCGTTCATGAAGAACTCCACCTGTTGCAGGAAGAAGTATAAAGACCCTGGCTTGGGTGATCGTCTCTTCACCGAACACACTCCTCGAACAGTCATGCAACCAAAAGATGAGGAATTGAAGTAATTACTTTTAAAACTAAGTGCCATGTAAGGCAGTTGAAGTAATTACTTGCAAAACAAAGTGTCATCTAGGGCAATTGAAGTAATTACTTGTAAAACAAAGGGCAATAGCAATTTATCAACCTTGAATTCAGTTGAAGTGACTGTTACTGCATTCATGTGGAATGGGTGAATTTAAATGACGTTCCTTCTTCATATGCAACTTGTCAGATATTCCTTTTGAGATAAAAATCTCGACTCGAAATCCCAAGCACCCATAACACGTAACGATCCTCGTGTCGTGTTTCAGGCCGCTGGCCGTGGCGCGTAAACTCAGCAAGCCCCTGCTGGGCCTCGGCTTCGTAGTGCACAAGAGTGCCGAGTTCCCGTCAGGCAGAAGCTGCGACCAAATCAAGGAGCTTCTTAAGAACCTTGGAGCCTCTGTGCTGCTCACCGTCACCAAGAACGCCGCTGCGCTCATCTCCACGGCTGGTCAGGCTCCTCTGCTGGTATTGTAGTGGGGTAACCACTGCGCTGGTCAGGCTCCTCTGCTGGTATTGTAGTGGGGTAACCACTGCGCTGGTCAGGCTCTGTCTCTTATACACATCTAGATGTGTATAAGAGACAGCANCCAAACGCCATTCAACAAGCAGATCTAAGGAGCAGGCCCTAAATTCAAATTTATTCTGTCCGTGTTGGTGCTATACTTTCGCTTGTAATGTGAACTATGCTAACAAAAGTGAAATCTATCTGCAAAGTATGAGGTTTCTATGCTAATTTGGTTTGAGAGCTAACAGGCTGCTACCTGTGTTGACTAGAGCTGTTTTCCCTCAGATTCAGTCACTTGAGCTGCAGAGTTGTTCAAAGTCTGAGCAGAATCATCGTTTGCACAGAGTCTTGAGCACAATCATTTACACAGAGTCTGAGCAGAATGTCTATATCATATTTGCTCATATGTTACTATGTTGCAGAGTGCGTGGGCGGCGCTGATAAAGTGATCGCCAAGGCAAAGGAGCTCGGCGTGCACTGCGTCCCCGAGGAATACCTCGACAAAGTCAAGGAGGATCCCGCCTCTGCGTTGGCGCTCATCAAACAATCCGCAATCTCTGATTGGGGAGAAGACGTGAGAAAATATCTTATTAAAGTCCCTACAAAATGTGCAAGTTATCTCGGTATACGCATCTGGATGAGCTGCGTTAATTAACATCCAAAATGTTCAGGTTATTCAGGTGGACACATATTTTTGACCTGTCCTTCATACATTCACCTTTGTAAAAGTTGCACATAATTGTGTAATTTTTCATGAATATTTGACCCTATCTTTTTTTGTGTTCAGCCTGAGGATCGTGTCACGAAGTCTAAACTCTATTCATCAACGCACAAGTCTAGCAGAAACGGTTAGTTATAACAAAAAATTTCTCATAAAGGTTAGTTTTAACTAAAAATATCTATTCCATTCTTCCATCTTCTTATCAACGTTTTCTTTATCATAATCATCTTCTTACTTGTGAAAATTTCACCATAAAAAACAACTCTGTTATGTAAATTTCATTCACTTGAAGATATGATTACGATGAAATGAGGAAATGCTCATGTCGCTCATTATTTTCATGGTAAGTTATGAGTACGGCATTTACTTAATAAAATGATTGCATTACATCAATGTAATATTTTACGCAGCGGACTCACAGTTCACGAAGAGCGTCCCGGACAAGCTAGTGCTGCAGCTGAAGGATGGAGGCGCCGTGGACCCTGACTCTGGACTGGCTGACTCTACACATGTTCTTAAGGTGGCCTCATGCTTCCTTCTCTCAGCCTAACTATCAGCTCCCTTTTTTAGTTAACTCATCTTAAATCATAATTTATTTTAAATATTTTTCCTGGACAATTTTTAGTCTATACAATGTAATAGGAAAGATCGGTAAAAAAGCTTGAATATACAATGTCAATCTTGAATATACAATGTAATAGGAAACATCGGTAACGAATCTTGAATATTTTCACAATGTTTAGATCATAAAGGGTGATTCCTGGTCAGGTATGAATATTGTAGTGAAGCTAGTGAATGAGTTGCTTAACATTAGAGTGATTCATGATCAGATACGATAATTGTAGTGAAGCTAGTGGATGAGTCTACGTAGCACGCTCCACTAACGTCTCTCACTGCAACGTCTGCCCTCAGAAGCAGGGCAAGTTGTACAGCAGCGTGCTGAGCTACGTTAACGTCAGCAACGGAGCAAACTCTTATTACAAACTCCAGCTCCTCGAGAGCGATACGAAAGACGCGTGAGTGCAGCTTGCAAGCATTACATAATAATTGTTTTTAGTTAGACGTTGCTTCAAGAAGGGAAAATGTTGCGCTTCAACATAATCACGAAGGACGAAAATCGCGCTTTAACATATACATCTTAATTTTTATATTCCAATTCAGCCTCAAATCGTATTAGTTCATCAAGACTAACATAACCTTTTTATCAATGACTACAAGTATTAAAACAACCGTGCAAGATGCAATAGTCCTCATTTTCATACCGCAGCTACCTCTGTTTTTATAAGCTACTAGGAGGCCATCGTAATAATGTTGTATGTTGAGTGATGTATTCTTAATTACTGTATTGATGCTGGGCAGCTGGTGGGTGTTCCGGTCGTGGGGCCGCATCGGCACCAGCGTTGGAGGCACCAAGCTGGAGGACATGAGCGATCTCTTCGAAGCCATCAGTCACTTCAAGGAACTTTTTGAGGAAAAGACCGGCAACAACTTCACCTCCAACACGTACACTAAAGTGCCGGGCAGGTGGACTGTTCTGGACGTTGAATTCGACACCGTGAGTTGTTGGTCTTACTCCTCGCACTGATCAAATAGTCTGAAGACTGCAGATGTGATCTGGAAGGACTGAAGTTCTATGCTACGTCGTTTCAGAAATAAATTCACTCGGTGATCATAATGATAATTCGGTGTCAATGTTCACACGAGGGAGGCTTGACCATAAGTACAAGTACAATGTTAAATGACAACATTGATACACATGGAATTCTCGCCTGAGTTTTTTGCCCCTCGATGAAATTTTCTCATGAAAATCTGATGATTCGTGAAAAAATACTTTATATCGTTGGTTCATCACGCAAATATGACAAAAATACAATAACCTGGAGCCATATATATCCTCAAGGACACTAGGAATGTTTGAAAAGATTCATTTTGGCAAATCTTCTGTCTTTCTGTGGCACAGGATGAAGTAGCGCAGCCCCTGACAGTATCAGCTGCTGACAGCAAACTCCCGCTGCCGGTGCAGGAGCTCGTGAAGCTCATCTTCGACATCGACTGCATGAAGTCGCAAATGAAGGAGTTTGAGGTCGGTTACCTGGTCACCTCTATCAGGAAGACGCTTGAGCTTGAAATATACCATTTTTGAAGAAACATAAGTCTTCCAAGTGTGAAAATAGATAATGCTTCAAAATAAATACAAACTGTGCGACAGATCAATATATGCCTATATATATATCGCGGTTCCTAATATTTTATAATATATTAAACATAAATTCCTAATTTGCCTATATTTATCGAGGTTCCTAATATATATAGGAACCCCGAGGTTCCTAATTTCCGGGAATATATTAATTACTGCTTTTTATATATTTTTTCCTGATTATCTCAAGTCTTTAGTGTTCCTATGCCGAAGTTTGGAATTAATTGCGGTCTTGTCTTCCAGATCGACCTGAAAAAATTGCCTCTAGGCAAGCTCAGTGAGCGTCAGCTGCTGGCCGCATACTCGGTGCTGACGGAGGCTCAGCAGGTGCTGTCAGAAGACAGCAAGCACAACGGGACCAAGATCCTGGACTGTTCCAACAGATTCTACACTCTCATACCTCACGACTTCGGCATGAACAAGGCGCCTCTCCTCGATAATTTCGATATTATTAAAGTAAGGGATTTTTTTTAATTCAAATTCTGAATAAACTGAAGTGTATACATAATTGCAGCCATTTTCAGGGATGGCAGAAAAAAAGTGCTTCTTTGACACATTAATCTTTTGTCTATGGATAAATGAATCGTCAACAATATTATTCGTTATCTTCAATTACCGTCACTATACAAACACTACTTTTGAGTGTACTTATTAATTTCTACCCATAGAGTAAAGTAGACATGGTCGAGAGTCTGCGGGAGATCCAGACGGCATATTGCTTGCTCAAGAGCAAGGGCGACGCGAGGAACGACGGCGCGTCTCTCATCGAGCAACACTACGAAAAACTCAACACGAAACTGGAGGTGGTGGACGAGAAGAGCGAGGAGTTCGAGGTGCTGCAGCAATACGTCACCAACACGCACGCCTCCACGCATGCTCACTACAAGCTTCAAATCGATAACGTTAGTTGACATTGTGCAGAGTGGCTTGAAAATAGCTATGTGCCTGTTTCTTCAATGCCGACACTTCTATTCTATTTGTTAGAAACTTGGTATGCAGCAAAGAGAGCGAAATCGGACATTGTTTAAGAGTTGTCATTTCTAGCTGCCTCGTCCATAGTTCCAATTCCAAGACTAGTACTTAATTGGCTATTTGGTAACGTTTGTGGGCCAAACTGCAAAATGCAGGTGCGTTTCGAACAATTTTTCAACAATTACTGAATAGGTACTTTTGGCATATCTAAATTCTTCTATAATTTGATACTTTTAAAAGAACTAACAATTTTCAAGTTTGGCGAGTGTAAAGTTATTTAGATAATTTCACATTTAGCCTTTAGGATAATTTTCTCATGTTCTTGGTTGCAAAGACTCCATTCCTTAACCAAGCAGTATGTTGAACGTTTGCATTATGAATTTATTATTCTGAAAATGAAATGGAGCAATGAAATCTATTCAGGACGACTTTCATGAATGTGCGATTGTGCCTCCTCAGATTTTCCGCGTGGAGCGGCAAGGGGAGGCCAAGCGCTTCAAGCCCTTCAAGAAACTGCACAACCACAAGCTCCTGTGGCACGGCTCCAGGCTTACCAACTTTGCAGGCATCTTGTCGCAGGTGCTCATTACTTCTCATTAGTTAAAAGCTGTATAGTGAACAGATATGCACTTATATTTATTATGTGGGAACCAACGACTACGCTCATCTGTTTTGATTCATCATATTGAATCGCTAGTGGATAGGCAAGCAATGGCACACAAGACTTCAAGCAGAGAACCATCTGTATGCTTGACCTAATTTAAAAACGTTCAGACGAAAAAAAATCTGCTTTCTGGCGTCAACACAGAACCAGGTTACCGAGCTCTGGACACCCTTTCTCCTGACCTCACTTGTCTTTGTTTCTATTGTGATATAACCATTCGAGACAGTCATTTTGAGTATGAAAAGCTACAATTTCTCGCTACCTCCGCTAAGATTGCTGACAAATTGCATCACTATCTTGCAGGGGTTGCGAATTGCTCCACCAGAAGCGCCCTCGACTGGCTACATGTTCGGCAAGGGTATTTACTTCGCCGACATGGTCTCCAAGTCAGCCAACTATTGCGCGACCTCCAACATCAACCCCACGGGCCTGCTGCTCCTCTGTGATGTCGCCCTGGGCAACATGTCAGTCCTCACTCTTGCTTAAATAATGATGCCTCATTAATTGACCTGCTGATAACATTTTTACCGTGTTGAAATAGCGTGCATTAATAAATTTCCATAGATGGCATTCATTTCCATTCGGAACGTGTATTTTACATGAAGCATGCTGCTATTGATACATCAGAATAAATTCAATGTGCTTTCACTAATCCACGGAGGAAATACAAGATCTCCTTGTATGAAGTATTCTTAAACAGAAATTTGCAGTGCTAATCTCGTTTAATCGGGCAGGGAGAAGAAGAAGAGCGCCGAGTATGTCACTAAACTAAGATTGCTGACAAATTGCATCACTATCTTGCAGGGGTTGCGAATTGCTCCACCAGAAGCGCCCTCGACTGGCTACATGTTCGGCAAGGGTATTTACTTCGCTGACATGGTCTCCAAGTCAGCCAACTATTGCGCGACCTCCAACATCAACCCCACGGGCCTGCTGCTCCTCTGTGATGTCGCCCTGGGCAACATGTCAGTCCTCACTCTTGCTTAAATAATGATGCCTTATTAATTGACCTGCTGATAACATTTTTACCGTATTGAAATAGAGTGCATTAATAAATTTCCATAGATGGCATTCATTTCCATTCGGAACGTGTATTTTACATGAAGCATGTTCATAACATAACCATCCATCCATCAGAATAAATTCAATGTGCTTATACTGGTCTACGGAGGAAATACAAGATCTCCTTGTATGAAGTGTTCTTAAACAGAAATTTGCAGTGCTAATCTCGTTTAATCGGGCAGGGAGAAGAAGAAGAGCGCCGAGTATGTCACTAAGCTGCCGGGGGGCAAGCACAGCACGATGGGCTGTGGCTCGACATTCCCTGACCCCGATGGCAGCCGCACGTTGCACGGCATCGAGGTGCCCTGCGCCACACCCAAGCACGACCGTGGCATCTCCTCGTCGCTGCTCTACAACGAGTACATCGTGTATGACGTGGCCCAGGTGCAGGTCAAGTACCTGGTGCGCATGAAGTTCCTCTATAACTGAGTAACGTCGTCTATTTCATGGTCTCTACCATAATCTTTATCACGGATGGATTACGCATACACTTGTGTTAGCGATAACTGATCAATAATGATCTTTGTATTGGAACTTGTTAGTTTGTGATCAGATGTGATATTGTGTGCGCCAATTTTTATGGCCTAATATGAGCTTTTTTATTATTGTTCTTGCGCTGAAATTCTCAGAAAAATTTAGACAGCAAGGATAAAAATATTAACAGAATTCGACGGTTATTCTTTCGAAGCTGACGAAACTTTTGCATCTAAGTAAGTGAAAGGAAAATTGTAATCAAACGTTGAATTTAGATCAGCTCATGATTTAATGAAAATTAAATAACAATTCAATTGAAATTGTTGCATAAATTTAAGCGGTTAAAAACATTTGTGTACTCACAAAACGAAGAACTGTGTAACTATGATAGTTAAGTGATGTATTGTTATCATCTTCACTAGTTCACTCTTTCGGCCATTTGGTGTATTGCATTTCCAAATATACTAGAAATCGCTGCATATTTATTTTTCTTCTCCATGGGAAACAAACACTTGCGTATATAACTATTATATTAAACAAATAACAGCCACAGTAATTTGTGATGAATTACGTGTGTTAAACTTGATGAATTTGACGAGGGCACACGTTATGTACAAGCTTTGCTTGGCGCGTCTAGGCTTGACTGATTTGTCCGTCAATCACCGGCTCTGCGAAAAGATATTAGATGCAAATTGAACATTGCAATGCAATCATACTAGATAATTAGAACCAATAAAGTAACAAGTAGAATTATGACACAATAGGATAACGTTTCATTCGTTAGCGATTTGTGGGCTAACGCGGTTCTAATATCTAAGGAGCCTATGTGAATGAGAATCTTATTTAGTAACCACTTCTAAATTGAGTATTTGCTAATATTATTGGAACGTGTTTCTTTTAAAGTTGTCAAAAGCTGTGTTGCCAGGGTGCATATCAGGGAATACCCCGCCGTCAATTACTCAAGTCGCCACTCTACCTGACTTACAGAGTACCTATCGACGAAAAGGTGGTTTCGTGGTCAGAAATGCATTGTTTCAAGTGCTGCAATAGTCAAATTTTTGGATTATATTGAAAGGCAGCAACTTTTAAACAGTGGCAAATAGCAACTGTAATTACGAAAGTTCAAAGCTGTCCGCACTGCATACGGTACTTCGAATTTTACATCTAACATCACCAAGAAATCTTATGATTGTTATTATAGGATCAATAGCAACAGCATTAATGAAAGTTTATAGTTGTCCGCACTGAATACTTCGAATTTTACATCCAACTTCACTAAGAAATCTAACTAGTGTTATTATGGGATCTAACTTCACTAAGAAATCTAACAATTGTTATTATAGAATCACCTTCAAATTTAAAAGAAGGAAACTTGGTCATGTCGGTGCCGGCGCCCCCACCATACTGCTTGGCAACCTTGTCGAGCTCCTGCTGCAGCTGCTTCTCCACCTGAGGGGTCGAGTCCACCAGCTTACCTCCACTCGACCTGCACAAGCAATCATCACATTAGTTATATCATTAAGGCAGGGAAATATTTCTGGAAGGCTTTCCATGGCTTCAACGAGACAAATAATTTAAATTTTATTTTAACAGCCAAATTGGCAGTTTACAGCAGTAGATTTCAAGAGACATGGGAATAAAGTAATTGATGAATAACACACTGTAGGATATTAGAATTCCAATAGTTGTTTAATTCACAAATGCCACAAATGACAGCATATTTATCAAATTTCCAAAAGGACAGCATATTTATTCAAGAAATATCTGTGAACAAATTTAGCTCCTGTAATGATAGATTTTCAAACAAACTTACTTGCTCTTCTGGCCATATTCTCTGACTTTATCAACAAAAAGTTGTTGGATGGGATCAACAGCTTTTTGCAAACAAACTGCAGAAACTCCATAGTTGCGGCAAGCAAAAGTTGCCAAGGACTTGTGAGACATGGCCTTCAGAAACATCTGTAGGAAACAAGAAAGCTTCCTGTTAAATATGCTGACAATCATGTGAGAACATTTAGTGAACATCAGTTAAGAAAGGGGAAATATATGGATTTCTATTTATTTATCCTAGTTCTGAGTTGATGCTATATTAATAGCTGTGATATTAAGGCATTTCTAGGTATTGCAGGCCTAAAATTCATAATAATTCTGTCCTCCAAATTTTCAGGGACAAAAATGAGATCAGTTATCAGCATTGAATGGGTGGNCTTTGCAATGATAATACTAATAACAACAATTCTTATATCTACAAGAGATGAAAGTTTTCAAGTTTTAGATGCGTAATTTCCTTCAATAAGAAATGACTAATGCGGGAGAAATAAATTACTGCCTACTTCAACAGAATCTGTTGCACAACCCACAATACCTGCCGTATATATACCAAAAATTTTTAGTTCTAAGTTTATTATATAAACTGAATTATTTTCCATGATATGGAAAAATATTTAAGCTGCAAACCATCATCAAGGCAAACCATGGTTTTCACACCAAATTTTCAATTTAAAGTTTGAAATTGCATCAAAAACATTTTGCTTTACTTTGGAGGAAATTATGCACAACAGCTTTCTCTACCTTGTCTTAGAATATACATTAAGTAACATTGTATGATTGTAGAATGATTGCTATAAGCAATCTGCCATAACCATGCCTACAAGATCATTCATAAATGTAGAGGCAATGATACAACATTGACTGTCTTTCACCCAGGGACCTGGGTTCAACTTCATGCAGGCTCATGACCAACTCAGCCTTACATTCAATTCTGCCTGATAAATGAGTACCCGACTTGATCAGTGTGCTGTGTAATGCAAAGATTGTTCCAGCATGACAGGGAGCCAGTGATGTAGGTGGAACCATGGTGTAATTCCGGAAAATGAGATTTCTTTAGTTAGCCAGAGGAATTATGCACTACACCTGCACACTGGCTAACCAAGAGGGTTGCTAGTGAATTGGTCAACCAGCTTAATGTCACATTTTAAATTGAGTTACAGTTCTAATATTTTGTTTGAGCTATTATTGGGGAGCAGACTTTATATTTTTAGCTAAAAAAGTACATTTATCATGGACAACTTTTCATCATGCACTTCATTCAACAATCAAAAAGAAGATAATTCATCTAGCTGGAAACTCCCAGCTGGTGAGATGGTATTGAAACTTGAGTCCTGGCTCAAAACATTAATTTATTCTACTAGTAAATAAAATAAATTTGTTCAAGTTTAGCGTGTACGTCTTGAGTTCCCGTGAAGTAATTTAAGCTTCTATCCTATTATTTTTATGAGTGGTGAGGCAGCGCTTCAAATCAACATTTCAATATTATAGATTCACTCATTGATTTATTCTACTGGTTATAGGCATGCACCTTTATTGGATCATGGTTATAGTTCCTAATCCCAAAACATAGGTTCTTTTATATTTACTTTAAAATGGCAACATGGGTATGGTGGTTTTTATAGTCGAGATATATCTCATAGATATAGCCTGGTAAATGGCTCATTTCATGTATGTTGATACTGTTATGCATATTACATAATGTGTCCATAAGTCTAGACACAGGATAGTTGGATATTTTTGGTACCTACATATAATTAAAGTTAAGTTTTATTTTCACAATTTGTTTAACTCAAATAACATCTGCAATATGAGCGCATCATTCTTTTGTCAGAGCCATAATTGTTCTGTGGATGTAAAAAACATATGATAATAATTTTGAATGCTATTTTGTTGAAAAATATTTGACTTTTCTATGTGTCCAGACTTTATGGACATCCTGTATAGTTGCTGACCTACTGATAGAAATCAAGAATGAAAGTTAACTGTAAAGTCTCTTGTTTGTCACTATGTTCGAACTGTTAATGTCTTGTGGCTCATATTTGCAGTATTATAAACAATATAATTATTATATTGTTATATTATATAATATAATTCTTATATATAATATAATCATATATATATAGATATATTATATATAATATAATTCTGATACAATTCTTCTATCAGAAATTGTGTACCTCTCAAACAGACAGAAAAGCTCTGAACCTCTACCATTAATCTATAGGCCGAAAGGTGCACCAGCCAGCAGAAATTTATGTTTTCATTTTCTCAATCCTTTGTGGATTGAGAAAATGACAATATAAATTCCTGCAGATCTGGGTAATCATCCTGCTTATGGAGTGACAATGCCATTGAGGAATAAACGCAATGTGCACCAAAAATAGTTTGAACATGGATGCACTGCTGTGCAATCACGTGCAAACATAACTTTAGGCCACACATGTTATGCAAATATGTGTAGTAGATACCATACATACATTCATTGTTGGAGCTGCTTCTGGCAGCTGTGACTGTTTGACCTGCCCAGGGAGCTGACCAACTACCCACCCTGGGCTGTGCTTTTTAACATAAAAATCAGGTTTAAAAAAACAGAGTGAAAGGTGGGTTTTAAAGAATACGTATGAATGCATCAAATTCATTTCATTGTTTTGAACTTCAAAAACAATTATACTAGAGAGAAGCTAGCTAGAAAATATCTATTAGGCTTTCTTGATCAAAAACAGTCATCTCATATGTATCCTGCAAGCCTCTATAGAAAGCCTAAATTTATTTGAGTCCTAGAAAATCCCACACATTATAAAGTTTTATAAAAGATACTAGCTCCGCTAACTTGCTCTACAGTCATTTAATAACTATCACAGTATGATCTAAAAAGGTGACCAGTGACCACCAGATATCTCCTTCATATCAAAGCCCATTTTGTGATTTTGTCTAAATTGTTAGCAATTTTTGTCACATCATGGCTATAGAAATAGAGTTGACAGAGGTTTTTTGTAAATATTTTATGTTAGCCCAACCTGAACCATAGGTTTAATATAAATGTCAACATTGGTGTAATTTAATTTAAATAGTGTAGTTTCTCAATATGAAGTAGAAAAACACCCACATTAGTCATAAACTCAATTATTTTCTCAATGATATTTACATAAACTATGCCTTTTGAGATTCCATGTTATATATTATTTTTTTTCTGTTAACCAAAACCAAAGTCCATGAAACAAGTTGAAAAAATTTGGAATTACCAACAGCCCATGGTCAAGTGTGTGAAATGAGGGAAGCTAAGTCAATAGGCTTTTGTCAGTTTGGTCATGTATAAACACTTGATTATTTGCCTTAGTAAATAGTTTCATATCTTAAAATTCTTCATAAAAAACACTGACAATGAAAAAGGAAGATCAAACTGTCCAGGAATGTTTTGTTTTTGGAGGCATAATGCACTCAGAGAAATTTTTTATGCTGCTTATAAAGTGAGACTTGAAATTTGTCTTTTAAGTTGAAATATCTGCCTATTACTATTGTGTTCTGTGAATTGAAAATTTTGTTCTGAAAATAGTATTTCAACATACAATCTTCAGGCAAAAAATTTAGTTGATAATTACCGGTGTACAGAGGTTAGACAAAATAAGGGAAACTCTTGAGAAAATCAAAAAATATATTTTAGTATGGTGTAGGTCCACCTTCTGCGTCAATTACTGATTTAATTCTCAGAGGTATTGAGTAAATTATTTCCAAAGTAATTTTAACCCATTCTTTAGTTAAAACTCCCCCCAGCTCTTGTATAGACGTTGACAGCGTGAATCAACTTCTGATTTGAATCTCTTAAATGGACCATAAATGCTCGATAATAGTCAGATCTGGTGATTGTGGTGGCCAAATGAGATGCTCAACTTCATTAGAATGTTTCTAGTGCCATTTTTAACAATTCCAACTGTATGGATCACGGGCGAGATTATCAATACATCGCTACTTACACGTAGCCACTTACGTGTTGCGTAAGTGCTGCTATGAAGACGCAACTCTAGCGGTGGTATCATCAAAACATTTGAGCGGGAAGCTAGGTACAATAATTTGTGCGTAACTATACGCCTGCTCGGAGGTGTCGTAAGCTGAGTTACGTACAAGTTTATTTAGAGTGTCTGCTGAAGCAATATGAAAATATTGATTTACTAGCAACAAGCTGAATTGTGGTAAAATTTTGTCAATAATTCGTCATAGGTATAATATGTGATCATGCCAAACGGTGCTTTTAGGAAAAAATTTCAATTGAGTTTATGCCAGAATCTAATTTGTTTTCCTCTTGTGTTTTAATTTACAATCAAATATTGATATTCATCCCCAAGAGTTTTATGCTCATTCACTAAAATAATATCTTCATGCCCTTTTTATTCAAAATTATATGGAGTTTAACAAGCCAGCCATTTTTTAGCTCCGTGCACATGTTTATTTCTTTCTCTGACACTCGCAACTCCAACTCATAAAATTTTATAAATACTAGGCCTCTCTAAAAGGTCTTCTAATTTTAAGAATAATGCAATTTTTCGCCCTAATTGCTAGAAATTTTGATTAATGATCACAACAACAAGTGCTTTGCTATTTGGACAACGTCTCACTCATTTCTCCACACAGGGCATTATTGATCTTTCGAGATGGCGTTCCTCTCTGGAAACAGTGCTTGAACCATTGAATGAACTTGGTCTTCCAAAATTTCTAAATAGTCACAGCTGTTGAGTCTTCTACGAAGAAAAATCATTGGTCCGCCTAATTTCCAAGAAATAGCACCCCAGATCACTAATCCCCCGCCATGTTTTATGGTTGGAAGGAGGCAGTCAGGATTAACGGACTCTTTTGGCTGTCTCCAAGCGTAAACTCAGCCAGAGGTTGAAAATAAAGTAAACGATGATTCGTCGGAGAAAATCACATTTTTCGATCACGAAAAATCGCATTCTTCACAAAAAATCACTGCACGAAGTACCAATTCTGGAGGGTTTTACACCACTTTTAATGCAAGGCTTTAAAGCATTTGTAATTGAAACCAGAGGTTTTCTAATTGCAGCTCTCCCATAGAATCCAGAGCAGCTCTTGGCGGACAGTCTATATGGAAACTGGGTTCTGTAGGTGTCCATTGAGGTCCGCAGTAATTTTTACAGACGTGGTCTTTCAATTGTCCCTCATAATTCAATTTAGGTAGCGACAGTACTCAGACAACTTCGACTTTTGGCTTTGCTGAGGACGTTTTTTCTTCTCATTCAAAAGAAGTCATTACTTTTGAGACACTACCTCTGTATAGAAACATCAAGCATTCGCGAAGTTTGTCACACAATCACTTGCCATACGCGCACCAAAAATTTGGCCTCTTTGAAAGCCTGAGAGGTTTGAAATTAACTGGTTTTAGGTGAAGTTTTAGACACAAAAATTCACCAAATATATCTGTACAAGGATAAAATATTAATTAGCAGCAACAATAAACGATAAAACATAAAAATATGACACGTTTTCACAGTATATAACAATTTCAAAAATTACGATATCAAAATGTCGGGTGTTTCCCTTATTTTGTTCAACCCTTATATATGCATATTATTATTCATGCATTCATTAAATTTTTTACAGAATTAGTCAGTATAGATAATTTCGCGATGGAGATCTGACAAACTGATTTGTGCGGCTGTCAGCATAAAGGTAAAAGCTATAATTTCGTTTAATAAAGAAAATATCTATTCTGTTTCTTTGATGCAGGTCAGGACTGGAGGTCGTATTTCATCTGAAGGATTGAGCAACACTCCAATTTCTGACAGTTCTCTGCAAATCCTACAGCAACTTAAGACTAAATTCCAACGTAAAGGTTAGTGTAATTTTCTATTTCGTATAAAAATGGTAAGTATTTTTAGCAAATTATTATTATTTTAAGAATGTTTGATTGTTGCAAAAATAATTATATGCTAATGAGAATAATTACAGAAAATAACACTATTAGAATTTCTGTCGATTTGTAGATTGTAGTTATGTTTATCAATCTCTACAGCTCAGTCTTCTAACTTCACCCCTGTCTTCAACACGCCTTTCGCTCCTTCTTCAGGATATCACCAAGAGCAACACCTTTTGTCAGTCCGTCATTCAAACTTATCGAGTTCAAAATTAATTTGTTACTTTTTGCAAAATTTTCAGTGCTTTCATTTTGAATAATTTTTAACTTAATTGGCATTGGCATGCACTGCATAGGGCTAGAGGCTTAGATCTTTAAACTAAATGTATTTCTTATGTGATCAAGCATATTTTCATGTTACATAATTAACTTTGGTGAAGTAATTTGTCTCTTTGCTACAAAGTACATTAGTGTTGAAACCTTATACGTTCACTGTTGAAAGTTCAAGTATATTTCCCAATCGATAGCTCGGCAATGATTTTATTCTCATAATGCAAATTACCAGGTAAGTTGTAATTATGCTGTTGAAATGTATGGTAATTTCTTGTGTATATTTGTTACTTTTTTTATGGCAGGCGATCGCAACTGCAACAGCTCGCACAAAAGGATGCCACTATTGAGGAGCTGCGTATTCAGGGTGCGCGCCTGCTGGCTCACCTCGAGGTGAAAAAGCTTTGATTATCATGAAAAAAATTCCCTTTAAACTTCTATCCGAAAGGTTTAATATGAATAGGTGCTAAAATATCCAGGTCACCAGAAAATATTCAATCTATCTTCATGTATTTTGATATTGCAAGTTGTAGCGGCGTGGTTCACCTGAAATTATTTAATGTTTTCGTACGTTTAGGAATATATAAAGTTGTAATGGCGAGGTTAAATGACATTTAATATTTACGTATTTTTAGCGCATTTTCTCATTTATGGAAAAAAGGCGCTATTGTGCTCGTCATGCCCGTCCGTCCGTCCGTCTGTCCGTCCGTGATTTAACGTTTTCGTCGACGAGAAAATGCGCTCTCTGTCACTCATTGCAGTGAGTACTGAGTTATATTTTTTTGCTCATTGACAGTAAATAATCACTAATATTGGGTCTTGAAGCTTTTCAGCTGTCAACTGATGTATGTAGAGGAAGTTTTCCCAGTGTATTGTTATGCTTCCAAGTTTTACCATATCATAAAATTATTTTGGTATCCTATTCTGAAGCAAATGCATCATCTTGGTCATTTTGTGTTTGGATGGTTTCTGCAAGGTACCGATCAAGTTTGTTCCAACATTCAAATTTCATGCATAGTCGTTTCAAAACGATTCGTCGGACTCTTGATTAGCAGTAGAATCAAGATCCGCATATGGCATAACTTTCATGCATTTTTTTTGCATGTGCTGGCTAAACTGATATCAGCTCAAGCTTGAATAGTCAGAGGCGTTATCTGTCACTCATTGCAGTGAGTACTGAGTTATATTTTTTTGCTCATTGACAGTAAATAATCACTAATATTGGGTCTTGAAGCTTTTCAGCTGTCAACTGATGTATGTAGAGGAAGTTTTCTCAGTGTATTGTTATGCTTCCAAGTTTTACCATATCATAAAATTATTTTGGTATCCTATTCTGAAGCAAATGCATCATCTTGGTCATTTTGTGTTTGGATGGTTTCTGCAAGGTACCGATCAAGTTTGTTCCAACATTCAAATTTCATGCATAGTCGTTTCAAAACGATTCGTCGGACTCTTGATTAGCAGTAGAATCAAGATCCGCATATGGCATAACTTTCATGCATTTTTTTTGCATGTGCTGGCTAAACTGATATCAGCTCAAGCTTGAATAGTCAGAGGCGTTCATGTTATCTGTACTTTTGTTTGCAGATTCTCCATCAGCAGCGGCAACAGATGGTGAGAATTTGCCTTTTGTCAAACATTGCAAAATTTATGTTAGAAATAATGATGAAATTACAAAATATGCAGATAATCAAGAATTAAAACACCAAAAAATTACTTTATTGGTGTCAGGGATCTAATTGATTTGTTGTCTTGTCGTTTATCCATGTTTATAAAATTATAATTGTAAATCCACACAATTAATAACGCTGTACCATTTTTTTGCAAAGATCACTCAATTTGCATGACGGTTCGTTAAGAATAAAAGAAAATAAAGCGCAGAGTATCTGACAAAGCAAAGTAACACCAATGTTGAAAATTGATTTAATCTAAGGGTGATTAAAGATTCATACCTTGTCTCACCTGTCTCTCTGCACGGTAAACTTCTTTTCTACTTTTTGGATTTTAATATAATGTTTGTTCTTCCAATATAATAATTGCAATAATTGTGTATAAGCACTGCTGAGGTAGTTTCATCTGCGGGAACTTCCTTTGTTTCTATTCGAATATATTCTCTAATGCTCGAGTGTATTCATTTCATTTACTTGATTTTACGGTGCACGTTCTAGATTTCTATTCGCCTGCTTTTGGATTTCCTATGCTCATTATCCACACTAATAGCTTTTAGGAAACCACCAATTTGAAATTCCGATTTTTTATCCGTCGTCATGATGCAGTTTAATATATATAGGTACTAATATATAAGTACATGTTTAGTACTTCCCGCAATAAAGTCTAATAAATAAGTTTTTAAATAGCATAGTATATAATCTTCTGCTTTTAGTCGAGCTTAATACGTACTGGAATTTCTAGATTTGTATTTATCTGAGCAGGAAAACGCACATGTAGGTGAAAATCTGCCAGCAGGAGGAATGATCCCTACGACCTTAGCATCCTCCACAACTCCAGCAATGTCGGTAAATGCTGCCTCATTCACAGCTCCTAATACAGCAGCACCTGCAATAAGTGCTTCAGTACCGCCTACCGTGCGACCAAACCACGGTATACACGCCGCTGCCCTGTCACCTCTCCTAGAGGTATCTGCTGAATCATCATCAGGAATTAGGTATCCTGTATATCCTTCAGCTAGAAATGAAGTTCTTACAGCTAATGGGCACAAAAATTCTAGAATAGAGTCTGTATTTCCTCCTGAGGTGGGAAGTAATCAACCATTATCAAGAAATTCTATTAATCGCGTCGGCATTGAAGCTGTTGATAGTGGCAGAGCTGTCCCTCCTGCCAGTGCTGGGGGTAACTTTGCTTCACATGCGAGTCGTCACAATACTTCTGGGGCACGACAGAGAGTAATGACGTCTGAACCACGAGGGGGAGGTCCTGCTACTATGCATGTAACTGACGAGACAATAATTCGGGAGATGTTAGCCGACATACGGTCATTGCGATGTGAAGTCCAACAACTGCAACGGCAAATGGCACAGTTAACAGGGCCACCACTGTGAGAGCTAGTTAATAATTATTTGTGAAAATAATCTAACATTTTTTCTTCAACTTCACTGACTACGATTGCTTCATCTTGTACTATTATTTCATTTTTTGTACTTTTTTTAAGCAGGGTTGCCAGACGGTCATTTTTTTCCGGACAAATTCCGTGATTTAGTTTTTCTCAATTGCGTTGGCCAGCTAAAATTTATGATAGGGGTATTTCCTAATTAAATATTAAATACTGCAATAAGAAAATATATGGAATTTTTATAGCGGAACCTACAAATAAACTAGTATACATGGAATTATCGGCCTTTTTTGGCCTTTTTTGTTCTCGGATTTGGCCGATTTTAGGCAACCTGAATTATGTACCACTACCTCCTGGAGAATTACATTTCGTGGTACACATATGTACCAATACGTAGTCAACGTGTTAATATATTTTCTTAGCAAAGTGTTAAGTGTTATGACACGTCAGCTCAATACTATACAGTTGAATTGTCCGTACAAAAATAATCGTTATCATTCTTTTATTTTGCAGTGAGGCTTTCTGGCAAAACACTTTGATCGCTCAGCCTCCTCTAGCCCCTACAGCTAGAAGAGATGCGGCGCCCATGGGCCCTGCTGCGTTCCAAAGACGACCTTCCTGGACAGCTTGGAACCCACCAGCTCCCGAGCTGTCATTGATGCACAACACGAGATCTGATGTAGGTTTGCGTGTCACAAACGCCATGTGTGCCACAAGCACTTTGCCTGCATCACTCTCAGAGCTAGAGGGTCAAATAATGTGAATGTCGACATGTCGTACTGAGTTGTGGAGGTTTCATTTCGTAGTTAGTTGTTTTGTTACTGAGTTGATTTGTTCGTTGGTATTGTTTGATTTGTTGTCTTGTCGTTTATCTACGTTTATAAAATTGTAATTGTGAATTCACACAATTAATAAAATTGTAACATGCGCAGGAAATAACCATCGCTGAATTCGAAAAATAAATCGTTCTCTTTTCGCTGGCATACTTCTCAATTTTTCTCAATAATTTCTTCACTGTCATAGTTATACCAACAAGGGTTCTATAGACGAAGAATACATGATAAGGCTTTCAATTTTATACGTTCTTGCTTCGAGACTGAAGGGAAGAAAATATCACAGTCTATAGCAAATGATTTAACACGTAAAGATATAACAAAGCAATTGTTAATCACTTACATAGCAAGCAGTTTGTACCTGTCGACTATGCAAACAATTGAGGAAACTAACTCTATACCAAGTACCTACCAGTACTTATCATTTCTAAACCTGATTACTTTCAGCATTGATCACCAAGATAACCATGAATTATCCATTAAAGACTAACAAACAGTGAGCGAGCGAAATTAAACTTCATAATGAAGATGTGACCAGTCAATTCGATACTACAACGATAATGTATAACACACGGGAATTAAAAAAATTTTCAGGTCCATGAACAAACACAGCAATTTAAGAAATTTCTTCATCACATTACATGAGTAATGTGATAAATACACATCACTCAAGTTGAATATTAGTCTTTTTATTGCGGTAGGTCGGGGGACCTAAGTGATTAGGAACCTGACATACTGGCAGTGGCCGTCTTAACTGCTTACCACCAAACCAAAAAAAGTTTGTTCATTTATTCGTAATGCTATTCTTGCGTGAATACAGACACAATTCAGTACATTTATATTGAAGGCTATACCTGAAAAAGCCATCACAGATGCAAGACAATACACGCATTACATTGGACCGATAAAAAGGCACAAAAGTCATCAAAACAACACAGAAAGAGTAGCTCACACAATACGAAACATACATCAAATTGAACATTCATCTGAAGATATCATTCAATGTTGCTATAAATTTACTCATCTGTAGGGAGATGAAGTTTCTCAAGTTTATGAGGGAAAATTCGTTGGATCCTCTCGTAGTTTTTAATCTCCGATTAGTTTAGATGATCCATTGTATTTGTTGTTTCATATGCATAACTCTAAAAATGAAAGCAGTCACTCAGACGACAATTTACATTTCAGGTATTCGGGCATACAATCAATAGGATACTCCATAAGAATTCACGTAAAATAGGTACTACGTGGAGATGACCAAGTCTCTAACTAACCAAGGCTCTAGAGATGACCAAGTCTCTAACAACTGCGAACCCAACATGGCACATCTTACGACTACATACACCAGAGGCACTAGGCAGCTTACATGTCTATTCGACGAGTCACTACACAAAGCCTAAAACACCCATGAACAGAATACGCAACGCTCTTCACCTGCGAAAACTGAAAAAATAATCATCAATTATTCACGAAGTTCAAACCAGAAAAATCAGCGGCTCGCATTGGCCTAAGAAATTTATAATGGCAGCATAACATACAAGGTATGAGGGGAAAGAATCATACCAACTATCCAGACATCTCAGTTCTGCAGAGCCGTGAGTATTTTATTTAAAAACTCGAGGAAAGAAGTGTCAGTGCTGCTAAACCTGAAACTGAAGGAAATATTTGCCGCATTCTGAAGCATGCCATTTATCTGGCGAGTGAAGCATAACAGCATGGAAAGATATACTGAGCACTTCGAGAGCAAATAATACAGAAGAAATTATAGGAGAGACACATTAGACACTGTCTCTTATACACATCTAGATGTGTATAAGAGACAGCCCTCATGGAGCTCAAGAGAAGACTCACGTCAGGCCACAGCGGATGCTGCACGGACGGCACGACGGACGACGCAGCGTTGCGTCGCTGCCTCAGGCGGTCCCTGAGCTCGTCCTCCTCGTCCATCTTGTCGAGCGTGGACTCGACCGCGTCGTAGAACTCATCCTCCCCCATCACGGAGTGGGGGCCTTCCTGTGGGGGTAAGGGGAGGGCAGGGCTGCGGTTAAGAGGTCACGGCTAGGGTTAAGAAGAGATCAGGGGCCATACTTTCAAAACTCGCTAGGTTAACGTAAGTACTTACGCTCTATTTTCTTGTCTATGATTGGTGGATTTTGCTAGAAAGGCCGTCAATGATTGGCTGATGAACTTACGATCTCTTAACGCTTTTTGAAAGTATAGGCCCAGGCTGCGGTTGAAAGGTCAGACTGGGGTAACGAGTGCATGTATTTACGAGTTAAATAAAGTGTAAATATTGAGCAGGAAAACTATGGCTGTGACGTCAAAATATAGTGCAGAAAACTTAATTTTTATTACCGTGAGGGTTCATTGCAGATTTGAATCGCACTTTAACATTAATTCAATTGTTTCTGTGCTTTCTAGGCAATATTAGGATTTTTACTAATTTTCCTACGCAACATAAGTGGTAACAACTAGTATTAATGATCAAAATTTAAGTTATTGTCAACAATCTTTGCTATTCTTGTAGCTCAATCTATGTTTATATTAATCACATACATATTAATTTAAATCAATAACCCAACATTGAGGTAACCAAGAACAACCCAGCAAGGAGGAGCCAACCAACCATGAGCTTAGAAACAAAGACGGTCACCATATTTAAAACATCTATTCACCATATCATCCAGTAAAACGTACGTGTTCCTGTATAGTGGACCATTAAACAATCCACCAACATGTTTTCAGTTGAGAAATGGTGCACTTATTTGGAGTTTTCTTTGCTTTGAAATTCTTATAGTGAACCTGCAATTTAAGCAGACTCATATTGAGGAAATAACTACAGTGGGGGGAAATAAATATTCGTACACTTAAAAAATCGTATTTTAATGTATGTAAGTACACAAACTTAACAGGAAAAGTGATTTAAATTATGTATTGAGACGCATAGTATTCAAAAATACTATCAAAAGAAATTAAATCTCAATGCAACAAAAAACAATGCAACATGTTCACTTTTCGGG